TCCTCCACTTGAAAACTGAGAAAAGCACCTCTCCAGAGCCAGAGATGAGCACCATCTCGAGAAGCTGGAAATGAAAGGAGAAGCCTCTGACTTTGCTTGTATTTGTGTGTCTTCATTGTATATGATTGTAAAGAAATTGAATGTTTGCCTATGTATGTATATGCTGTAATCCGCTCTGAGTCCACCAGGGGAGAAAGGTAGAAATAAATAAAGTGTATTATTATTATTATTATTATTATTATTATTATTATTATTATTATTATTATATTAAATACTATGGATTCCTGAGGGTTGTAGTCTGGTGAGGCTCAAGCAATCTTTGCTAGAGAAGGTTAAAGATCCTGTAAAACTACCACTCTTAAGTTTCTATAGAATTGAGCCACAACAATTAAAGTTGTGTCAAGCTGCATTAATTCTATAGTGTAGATGCATCCATGGTTTGACTTTTAATGGTAGCATGATTACAACAAAATAATTAGTTTTAATCCTGAAGGAAGTGGAGGAAGGAACAAATGGCTAACAGAGTCTTAACTTCCTGACATTTTGAAAATTAAAACAGAGACATGAAGATGGTGTCCTAAGTGACTCTAAATAAGAAATCAGTGCAAATTAATTGTTTCCTATGGTTTATGGACTTTTGAGGGAGGCATTGTACCCTGTTGATGATAAAGCCCATGCTTTGCAAGTAATAGAACTATAAACAACAGCAATAACAATTAATCCTTCAAAAGCTCCCGTATTCAATTATTACAGCATCTAGTATTTGGCATCCTCATGGGGATGATAGCAAAGAAAGCTTAGATGTAAGAGCCAATGTGGTGTAGGGGTCTGAGCATTGGACTATGACTCTGGAGACCAAGGTTCGATGAAAACCTATTAGATGACCTTGGGCAAATAACATAATCTTAGCCCTAGAAAACTGTGATCTTGCCATGTTGGAAACTACTTGAAGGAAACAACAACAAAGCCGGGCTTTAGCACAGCAGGTTAACACCAGCTGCAATAAATCTTGCCAATCGAAAGGTTGGCAGTTCGAGCCTGGGTGGGGGGTGAGCTCTCAACCTTCAGCCCAGGTCACTGCCCTCCTGGCAGATCAAAAACAGCTATGAGTAAATAAACAAATACTGCTTAGATGGGAGGTATTTTAATGGCACCATAAGGAAATATCAGAAAAATGTTGGCGATTCGATCAAAAGTAGGAAGTTTTTGAATAGGTCTCTTCGACATGGAGGATGGTGCAACAGCACCCCCTCGTGGCCAGAACCAAGTGCAACCTCCAAGATGCCAAAGTTGGGGAAAGTCTATACACATCTATCTGTGTATTGTGTCTGTCCTGTCAGTATATAACGGCATTGAATGTTTGCCGTAAATGTGGGTGATCTGCCCTGAGTCCCCTTCAGGTTGAGAAGGGTGGAATATAGAGTAAATAAAATAAATAATTAATTCCAAAGAAGAGAGCATCAGGCTCTGGCAATGATTCTTGTTTCATTCTGACTTACTGTTTTCAGACACGTCTTTGGCATTGTTGTTGCATGGGGAGGAAGGCTTTTGACTCGTTATTATCATTTTAATGATGCATTTCCAATTTGTTGCTCAGTGCATGTTGCTCTTCTTTGATTTTATCACTATCAACCACCTTGAGTACCGTTGGGCAGAAAGTGGGCAGAAAGGCCCTGGCATTAAATAAAGAAATACATAAATGAAGGTTATGCAGAAGTGACAACAGCAAAACATAAAGTAATGAGCACCTCCCCATCAATCTGTGCAAATACGTAAGCCACGTATGAAAATGAATGTAGATCTGCATAATGATGGAGTCTGAATATTGGCCATAAACACAGCTTTGGCCACTATGGCTATAAAGCAGTAGTTCTCAACCTGGGGTCCCCAGATGTTTTTGGCTTTCAACTCCCAGAAATCCTAACAGCTGCTAAACTGGCTGGGATTTCTGGGAGTTGTAGGCCAAAAACATCTGGGGACCCCAGGTTGAGAACCACTGCTATAGAGAATCCAACATCCACCTGGATCTGACCAAAGCATTAGGGCAGTAGTTCTCAACCTATGGGTCCCCAAATGTTTTGGCCTTCAACTCTCAGAAGTCCTAACAGCTGGTATACTGGCTGGGACTTCTGGGATTTGTAGGCCAAAACGCCTAAGGACCCACAGGTTGAGAGCCACTGCATTAGGGGAAAGCAGCTTGAATGGGAAACAGGTGACTGAGATGAAACATACATCACATCAACCGAGGTGATAAAAATCTTGGGACTTTATGGCTCCATCTACACTGACCACTGAGTGCAGTTTCAAACCAGTATTGAAGAAAGTGGTTTCACTATGTAGATGATTACATAATAAATCCTGAAACCAGTCTGAGACCTGGATGGTGATTACACAAACTGCAGAGCATTGCTGTGCATTGTTTTCTTTTGTGCGTTTTTGGGGGAAGTTTGTTGTCTGGCTACCGCAGTTTAAAGCTAGCTTTGAACTGCATTGAGCCATCAGTGTAGATGGGGCCTATCATAGCAAATTCTTGTCTCATCACAATTGCATTGTTTAAGCAAACAGAAACAAAATTACAACATGTAACATGATTTTTTGTTCCTGGGTTATAAATGTCATTTCCTAATCAGGTCTATCATAAAAACGTGGAAAAGATTTATTAAACTGCAAAAACTTTGTTTTTGTGGGAAGAACATTCTGCAGCACATTTTGCTATGGTTTTTCAGTGAATATCTCATTGAGTCTCAACCAATTCAACGTATTGTCAAAGGTTTTCATGGCTGGAATCACTGGGTTGTTGTAGGTTTTTTGGGCTATATGGCCATGTTCTAGAGGCATTCTCTCCTGACATTTTGCCTACATCTATGGCAAGCATGGCAAGCATGACTTCACAACCTCTGAGGATGCTTGCCATAGATGCAGACGAAACGTCTGCTTCTAGAACATGGCCATATAGCCCGAAAAACCTACAACAACCCAAGCAATTCAACGTAGTTTGTGGCATCTACAAAAACAAAGTTCCTGGAGTACAGCAACTTACTTTCCAAGGAAGTACGACACAATTAAACAGGAATAACACTTTCAAACCAGGAACAAAACATCTTTCAAAGTTTGTTACATAGTGTTATTCGAGCACCAAGACACAATTGGGCAATACTAAGATACAAGATCAGTGTTTTGCACAGCCTCATTTCCTCTCCTGTGCCTATTGCTTTTCTATTTTTCCTTATCACATACAATTGCAGCATTCCTGTTTCGCAATAAAAGGACTGCAATGGAAGGAGATTATCGCACAGGGAAGAACAACAGAACAACGGCAGTACTGGATTCATCGGTGAGGTTTCCCATCAATGAAAAGAGACATCCCAATCACAAATCAAATGCAGTATGACTACAAGACAGCCACAGCATCGTACCCTGCCATAATTATGTTTTTGCAGCATGGTGTGATAAAGTCCTAAGGAAATCAACTCAAGCTGCAGGCAAGTATGTGTGCATCACACTTTTGAATGCTCCCTATTTAAAAACAGAATCAGAAGTGGGACAATCAGGAAATCTACATCATCCTGTACCACCTGATCTTAACCTCTGGATGTGTCTGAATACAACAAGTGGACAATTGTTGGCGGCCAAACTGCTCCCACTCCAGGGAATCTTGGGTGGCTGCACTCCACTCCACATCCCCTGGATTTCTTTCACTCGCAAATATCCTCTAAGAGGAATGGGGGCAATTTTGCCACATCTCTGGCTCTTTTAAGTCTATGAAACACTTGTTTTTCTCAATGGGAACTGATCCAAACATTAACTGTTAGAAACACACACACACAAATGACAAAACTGCTTCCTACATGATAAATAAAATGTGATTTGGGACTGCAAGCAGCGCCATTTCCCCCATTTCTAGACTGTATTTTGGGCATTTCTATCCCGTCCTTCTCACTTCCAAAGAGGGACTCAGGACGGCTTATAGCAAGCTACAGGTATCATCATCCCCAACCCAGCAAGGCCATGTAGTCCAACTCATCTAGACCAGCGTTTCTCAACCTGGGAGTCACAAGGGGGGTGTCAGAGGGATCACCCAAGACCATCAGAAAGCACATATTTCTGATGGTCTTAGGAACACAATGCTCTCCGGAGATAGGTGAACTATATCGTTCCTAAATCACTATACGTGGGGCTGCCCTTGAAAACGGCCCGGAAGCTTCAGCTGGTTCAGCGTGCGGCAGCCATGTTACTAACTGGAGCGGGACGCAGGGAGCACACAACGCCCTTGTTGTCCAGCTCCACTGGCTGCCGATCTGCTACCGGGCCCAATTCAAGGTGCTGGTGTTGGCCTACAAAGCCCTAAACGGTTCCAGCCCAAAATACCTGTCTGACCGCATCTTGGCCTATGAGCCCACGAGGACTTTGAGATCGTCTGGGGAGGCCCTTCTCTCGATCCCGCCTGCCTCACAGGCACGCCTGGCGGGGACGAGAGAGAGGGCCTTCTCAGTGGTGGCCCCCCGGTTGTGGAACACTCTCCCTACAGACATCAGGCAGGCGCCCTCTCTTTTGTCCTTCCGAAAAAGCCTCAAGACGGGCTGTTCGAGAGGGCATTTAATTAAGGGCTATAGTAATGTGGTAAAGACGACTGGAATGGTACAAGGAATACGAGATTGGTCACGATTCTATTACGAGACGAAGCGGATTAGTTAGTGTAATTTTAACTGTTGTATTGTTGTATGGTTAATATGCTGTTGTACTTGTCTTTGTGTGAATTGCCTTTTGTACTGTACACCGCCGTGAGTCGCCCGAGTGGGCTGAGAATTGCGGTTAATAAATGCTCCAAATAAAATAAATAAATAAAATAAATAAATCACTATCAATTCCTCCCAAATCCTTCCAGTATTTTCTGTTGGTCGTGGGGGTTCTGTGTGGGAAGTTTGGCCCAATTCTATCATTGGTGGGCTCTTTGATTATAGGTGAACTATAAATCCCAGCAACTACAACTCCCAAATGGGTTGAGGCATTAGGAAGGTTGAGAAACACTGATCTTGGAGGATACTGGATTGGGGAGAGCTGCTAGGGAACATCTCATTCATTTTAAGAAGTCTCACCAAACTCAGCTTGCAGTGCATCCTTGATTTCTACTTCCATACCCCCAATGGAGAGGCTAAAGGTAAACCTGAGTCCTATTCCTGTTGTACCTTTGTAAAAATTAAGGAATTAATACTGTAACAGTGAGACTTGGAGGTTTTCCCTCCAAGAGATAGTATGAGTACCTTAGTAGAGTGCTACTACAATGTAATCACCCCATATCTGCTAGTATGAGGCTTTTAAAGTACACATTATTCTAGAAAAAATGGAAGTCAGAGCAGGTTATGAATTTCCTATGTCTAACCTGGTTTTCTGCTGCCAGCCTGAGATTCTAAAAATGTGCTTCCGATATACATATTGCCTTTAGTATCAATTCAGTAACTCAGCCATTAACAAAGTTTGAGGTTCCTTTCAATTACGTTATGGAAAGAGACCTTAAAAGTTACAATCACCTGGGATGCTGAACCATGGGTGCATCAACATTGTAGATTCAATGGAATTTGACACCACTTTAACTTCTATGGGCAAATGCTATAGAATAATGGGAGTTGTAAGTTTGGCGAGGCACCAGCACTCATAAAACTACAACTCCCATAATAGTTTTGTGGTAACAGTTTTCCCCCTGGTTTTGAAAATGCTACAGAACCGGAGTTTGAGGTAAAAAAGATACAAGCCGGCTCATGTTTCCTGGTGAAATGTCCAGACAAGGATTCAAATAATAACAGAACAACAGACTTAACTCTACAAACTAAGCAAAACAAAAAGAGGGCTGAATGAAAGCTTTCTCCAGAGTAATTTTTGCTAGCATTTCAGAGATCTTCCTCTTCAAAACAAGGTTGGGTTGTGCCAGTTGCCACTGGTGTTTGAACATACAACTTGTAACCCACCTCTCATTTAAAAGACGCTTTCCAAATTTGGGGCAAAGTAATTCAAGAAGTTGTCAGTTTGCAGACATCACTTTCTGCCCAGGGTTTGGAACAGGGAAATATATGATACCTGATTGCTTTTGCCAGACTTTTCATCTACCTCATCCTGCAGCTCACCTCAATTATCTGATACCGTATTGCTCTTCTCGTTTATAGCTCTGGACCCGACAAAAGGCCCCATTCCTCCACTTTGCATCCATCCACACCTGAAAATTCCCAATCCCACCCCTCAAAAATCCCAGCTGCTGGCATCTACCAAAAATTCCTGCAGAAAAAAAAGTTTCTTCCACTAGGAAAGAAAACATCAGTCATTCTAGAAAAAGCTACACGTAACTGAGTTTCTGCCCGGAGGGAGGAGAAATGCCAAGACGAAGGAAAGGAGCACATCTCAGTTGAAGACTCGCTCGCCTCTTGTCCGCTGTCGTCCTTAGCTACGTCAGCCATTTGGCAATGCAGGCCTCGTACACCGTGCGGTTGGAGTGCCAGTCTGTGTGCGAAATGCCAGGCACCACGTACAAAGCAATGTCGCCACGAGCATCCAGGGTCTTCAAACCAAAGGTGTCCAGTAGGTAGACCTGAGAAAGAAACAGAGACAGCGGTGAGGGTTCGTGTGTATCTATTATTATAATGGATGTCTCTTATGTTGCCTCGCAGCATGGTGGAGTCTTCTTCTCTGGAGCTTTTAAAGCAGAGGCTGGATGGCCATCTGCTGGGAGTGCTTTGATTGTATTTCCCTGCGTGGCAAAATAGTGTTAGACTGGATGGATTGTGTGTGTGAGTCTATGCCAAGCATTTTCAACCTGTGACCCTCCAGGTGTTTTGGACTTTAGTTCCCAGAATTCCTGACCATCAAACAAGCTGATGGTTTCAACACATGGAGGGCCACAATTTGAAAAAGGCTGATCTATGATTCATGGGAACCCCTATACATGTTGTAGGGTTAGCTTAGGAATACTCAGGAGATCATTTTCCCTGTTCCTTCCTCTGAATAAAATAGTCTAATACACCTGGTATTAATTCGTGGTATCTTTTCCAAGTAGTAACCAGGGCTCACACTGCTTCTAAGCTCAGGCAGGATCAGAGTATTTAGTAGTCAGGGCCTGAAATTTGTCCCATCCATTTGATTAGTGTTTATGTTTTGTTCCATCCATTCAGATAGGCGCAGTGGGTTAAACCCCTGTGCCGGCAGGACTGAAGACCGACAGGTCGCAGGTTTGAATCCGGGAAGAGGCAGATGAGCCCCCTCTATCAGCTCCAGCTCCTCATGCGGGGACATGAGAGAAGCCTCCCACAAGGATGATAAAAACATCAAATCATCCGGGTGTCCCCTGGGCAACATCCTTGCAGATGGCCAATTCTCTCACACCAGAAGCGACTTGCAGTTTCTCAAGTCGCTCCTGACACGACAAAAAAAAATCCATTTGGATGGTACAAAATGGAAAGGCCGCTCCTGGAACGAAAATGGACTCGAAACGAAAGGAAGGTGGGAGTGGGTACCGGCTCCAAGCCTGCTTTTTGAATCAATTGCCACGTGCATAGACCAAAAGCACTGGGGCCTAACAGGAGCACTCCTTACTTGGTACTCGGCTGCAGGACCTGCCAGGCCCTGGCTCATAGACCCAAAGCCTGCACCCATAGGCTCTGGCACTTTGGGCTTACGGGTGAAGTCTCTCCCCCAAATAATGAGCCAAAAGAAAATGGATCTTTCGGCCCTAAAAACAAAAAACGAATGTCTCACCTCCCAATTTCGGGAGGCTCAGACAAAATGGATCATGGCCCCCATCAAAAGCTGGGACATGAAACGGATGAAGGTAAGCCCCGAATGCACATGTCTAGTATTTAGCTCCTTGCTAAAAATCTTCCATGATGTCTTTCACCACCCTCTTGATTCTTTCATTTTCCGGAAGGTGAATTATATCCTCTTCCCCCCCCCCCCCAAACTCAAAAAACATCTGCCCTATTGTATTCCCCCCCCCCCCCCCCAAATTCTTTGGGACTAAAGGATCTCATACTCACTGGCTGATACCTCATTTCTTGCACTGTTTCATTATCATCATAGAAGGCGAAAAGACTGCAACGAGAGAGTAGAGGTGGGAGGAAGAAGGGATTTTATTAGAAAACCAGGTTTGACCAATCCCAGTTCTTATTACACAAGAATTGCATCAATATTATCTGATAAGAAAAGAGCCCCTGGTGGAGAATGGGTTAAACCTTTGTGCTAGCAGGACTGCTGACCGAAAGGTCATTGGTTCGAATCCGGGGAAAGGGGTGAGCTCCCGTCTGTCAGCTCCAGCTTCCCATGAGGGGACATGAGAGAAGCCTCCCACAGGATGGTAAAACATCCAGGGCAACATCCTTGCAGACGGCCAATTCTCTCACACCAGAAGCAACTTGCAGTTTCTCAAGTAGCGCCTGACAGGAAAAAAAGAACCGCTCTGGTTGTGTCTTCCTGCTATGGCAGGAAGTTGGACCGAATAGGGTTAGACTGGATGGACCTTGGGGTCCCCTACAATCGTATGATTTAATGATTCCAGGTTGCAACTGTGTTACTTTCAACCACTGGGTGATTTTCCTTTCATATGGCCTCCAGAGGGCAGGGTTATTTTATTCATTTCGTATCAAAAGCATTGCATAAATTAGTATAAAACTGATAAAAATAGAAGGAGCGCAGGCGGAGAAATATCTTTTGACCAAAAACTGGCAACAGCAATGGCATTGTCTGTAGCCTCCAACAATTCTTCCTCTGTACATGAGGCAGGGCATAGTGGACAAGCATAGAGATGCGGAGGACAAGCATACAGAGGGCAGAGTGAGATATGAGCCAAAGCATGACAAGTTGGGAAACTTCCATAGGCTGACTTTGGCTCATGGGCTGTGGTTCCCCAACTCTGGCATGTTGTTGTTGCTGTTCATTCGTTCAGTCGTTTCCGACTCTTCGTGACCTCATCTCTTGTCCCCTCGCCAGAGCTCCCTGTCGGCCATCACCTCTCCCAGCTCCTTCAGAGTCAAGCCAGTCACTTCAAGGAACTCTGGCATAAAAGAAAGGTTTTTCTGTATTTGACTGGGGGTGCTGCCTCTGTTTACTTGGAAGATATTCTACTTTGCTTAAGGAGCTGCTTGCAATCCATGGCAATACAACTGTCCATATAGTACTACTTGGTTTTTTTGTTGTTGCCACCAAATTTATGTCCAATTTATTTTCTTTAGCAGTGCTCAAATCTGTTGGGGTTTCCCCCCCTAACAGATGACTGACAGGGCCATTTTTGAAACCCTCTTTTCCTAAAGTTTGATACCTAACAAAGGGAAGTATTTTCTACTCAATCTGATCACAAGCTCATACATTAGGCAGCAATTCTGCAATCCCAGTTCTCCCTGGAAATTTGGGAATTAATCTGTGTCCTTTTGTATGTGCTCTAAGCATTGAATGACTGGAACTTTCAATTGCATTGAATATTCTCATCCTTAAACACAAGTTGCATAGGTAGGTCAGCAGAAATGCTAATCTTGAGCCCTTTCCAAAAGTGGGACGTTCCTCTCCCCAACTCCAAAGCCTTACCTGGATTCCCACGGCGTGATCACCCCATCATCTGGACCCCCAATGAGAACTAGCTTGCGGATCCGCAGGAGATTCTCCTTCCAAGCTGTAGTGAAGGAGAAAGGGACAATCAAGGCCTCTGGACATTTGAGTCACCAAGTTTCCTGTCTCAAAATTCCCTCTTCCTATCTACAACCACGAGAGAAAGCACAAGGACTCCCTTCTATATCCCCAATGGGAAAAGAACTTGTGGTATTCACTTCTCTTTGGTCTTTATGGAAGGAAAAAGCAGCAGATACGGAAGAGGAGAGCAGGCTTGTTTTCTGCTACCCTGGAGAATAGGACTTGGAGCAATAGGTTCAAATTACAGGAAGGAGATTCTACCTGAACATTAAGAAGAACTTCCTGATCGTATGAGCTGTTCAATGGTGGAACTCTCTGCCTCAGAGTGTAGCTCCTTCCTTGGAGGCTTTTAAACAGAGGCAGGATGGACATCTGTCATGGGTGCTTTGATTATGCTTTTCCTGCATGGCAGGGGGTTGGACTAGATGGCCCATATGGTCTCTTCCAACTCTATTGGTCTATGATTTTGGAGAGAAAAATCTACTTATTGTTCTCTCCACACATAAGATGTATAAATGTTGAAGAAAATATCCCTTTTTATTAATAGTGAAAAAGTGTTGACTGAATTGGCAAGGTCAATATAGATTGAGTCTCGATAATCTGGAAATTCAAAATCTTGAAAACCAAAATTTTGCAGCCAGCTTCCATCTTTGAGGAAAGGGGGCTAGTCATACATCCAGGGCATGATGGGTTTTTCATGGGGGAACTACAAATAATAGAGAGCAAGGTTTAGAGAATTGCATGAAGTATACTTTGTACAAGATGCCAGTACATTTAATGTTATAGTGCTATAAGCATAGATATGATATACATTATTGTGATTACATAACTGTATTACTTTTCAGTGTATAGATGCCTTCTGCACTTAGAAATACATATTAAGTCATGGAAAAGGGAGAGGGGTCCACATACACTAGACCCTGTAAAAAGCAAACATTCCAGGCACTTCCATGCTCGTCTTCTGCCCAACCAATGGTGGCACACAATGAGTCAGACGCCCTGCAAGGGCATGCATAAAGCAACACCATTGGTTACCATCTGCATCCAGCCCAGAGAGGAAACAATCCATGGGAAGATAGGTTGGGAGGAGATTTCCCCTCCCTTCATGGCTATCTCTTGTCTCCTCATCAGGGATCCTTGAGGACAAACTCACTGGGAACTCAATGTGTGACTAGCCCCCTTTTCCCCTATCTCTCATTTACTATGTTTATGCAAATACAGATATTCCAAAATCTGAAAAACCTCTGGTCCCAAGCCTTTCAAAGAAGACTGAATCTATATATGAGACTGACACTATTATTCTCATGCTCAAGGATATCTTTCTTTGTGGTGAGTGACAGAAAGCCTGGCTACTAAGGAATGGAGCCAGAATGGTGGAAGAGTTGAAGCATTAGAGTATGGCTCTGGGGACCAGAGTTCAAAACGCTACATGGCCATGAAACACACTGGTTGACCTAGAGCAAGTCATATCCTTAACACTGACCTAGAGCAAGTCATACCCTTAACATTGGAGAAAGGGTAATGTTCTTTGGCAGTGCATTCCACAGGTTGGGGCTGCTACAGAGAAAGCCTTGTCATATGAACACACCAATGGGGCATCTGGATACACAACAGGGCCTCTGATGAGGACAGCAAATGAAAGAGGAGATGTGAGGCAAGCCTGGCACTTGGATGTATTCTACCAGAAGTGTATTGGGACTGAGGACTACTTTTCATTCTTACCAGTTGCGTTGGGGTGGAGTCTCTCATCATTCAGCAAAGCCAAGAAGTTGCTGTTGTTGAGGTAAAGATCCCGATGATGAGGATCTGAAAATGAAAAAGCCAAGGGGTAAATAGTTGAGAAATATGTTTGGTTCCTACTCTTCAAACTTCTTTACTGCCACAGACCACAACAAAGTATGTTGTCTTCCAAGATCCCAGAGAAGTTCCATGTCCTTCTAGCATTCCATAATTATCTCCTTCTGTTTTAAAGGATCTTCCTTTTGAATATTTTTTGGGGCAGATGATGCCATAAAAACATACAAACTACATCAGGTCATACTTTATTCAGGACTGCAGGGAACATGTAGGTGATAGTCCTCTGAACAATCAAATGTGCACCATAAAATGCCAAAGAACTATTATGGGTGCCTTTGTATAACTAGAGTTAGCCTTACCGTTCCAGTAGTTACAGATGGAGAAATCCTGGCCCACGTGTGTATAGCACACACGGTACAAATTGGACTTCATGTGCTGAGGAAAAAGCCATTTCAAGTACTTGGTGTCTGGATCAGAAAAGAGAAAGAAAGAAGAAACACGAAGTCAGAGTCAGCTCTAAAATTAGGCAGAACGACTCATATATCTAAAGTGCTCAATATAATGCTTCCAATCTACCCATTGTCTGAGTCCATCTCAGAGCTATGAGGACCAACAAGCTGAAACTAAATCCAGACAAGACAGAGGTACACCTGGTCAGTTATAAGGAGGATCAGGGTGTGGGATTTCAACCTGTGTTGAATGGGATCACAGTCCCTCTGAAGACACAGGTCCGCAGTCTGGGAATGATCCTGGACTCATCACTGACCCTGGAACCCCAGCTGACAGCAGTGGCCAAGAGCGCCCTCACACAATTAAAACTTGTGCGCTAGCTGCGCCTATACTTTGAGACACCTGACTTGGCCATGGTAATCCATGCCTTAGTCACATCCCGCCTTGACTACTGCAACACTCTCTACTTGGGGCTGCCTTTGAGAAACTGCAATTAGTGCAGAGATCGGCGGCCAGATTGCTAACTGGAGCACCGTATCGTGAGACAACGACTCCCATGCTGTGGCAGCTCCACTGACTGCCGGTCCGCTTCCAGGCTAAATACAAAGTGCTAGTCATTACCTATAAAGCCCTAAACCAGTAGTTCTCAACATGTGGGTCCCCAGATGTTTTAGCCTTCAACTCCCAGAAATTCTAAAAGCTGGTAAACTGGCTTGGATTTCTGGGAGTTGTAGGCCAAAAAACCTGGGGACCCACAGGTTGAGAACCACTGCCCTAAATAGTTCAGGTCCAGGCTATTTATCACATCGCATCTCCCCATACAGACCATCCCATGGACTGTGGTCAATGGAGGAGGCCCTTCTCTTGGTCCCACCCCTGTCACAAGTTTGGTTGGTGGGAATGAGAAAGGGGGCCTTCTCCATGATCACTCTCCATCTCTTTAACTCACTCCCTAAAGCAGTGGTTCTCAACCTGTGGGTCCCCAGTGTTTTGGCCTCCAACTCCCAGAAATCCAAACTAGTAAACTGGCTGGGATTTCTGGGAGTTGTAGGCCAGAACACCTGGGACCCACAGGTTGAGAACCACTGCCCCAAAGAAATAAAAACAGCCCCTACCCTCTTCTCCTTTAAGAAGCTTCTGAAAACACAGCTATACACTTTAGCATATGGAGAGGAGAAGGACCAAGACACTTTAACCCACTAGAATGATGGCTAATCCCACTTGTATTATATGTCTGCCGTAATATATTTTAAATGAATTCCAGCGCTAGCCATTTCTAATGTAACTGTATTTTAATTGCTTTTATGGTATATGGTGCAATGTCTACTCATGTTTTAGTTTATTATGTCTTACTGGATTGTTCTGTTTTGTTTTTTATTTTGATGATTAATTCTTCGTTGTAAGTCCACTGTTATGACTGTGTTTTACCATGTATTTTTATGTGTTAGTACTCATTTGAGGCATTGAATGTTTGCCTTTTGTGTGTGTAAACCACCCTGAGTCCCTTCGGGGAGAGAGGGTGGTCTAGAAATAAAGTATTATGATTATCTCTTTTGTATGCACAATACTAGGTAACTACCCATGGGACCAAAATCTAGGACAGTGGTTCTCAGCCTGGGGTCCCCAGATGTTTTTGGCCTACAACTCCCAGAAATCCCAGCCAGTTTACCAGCTGTTAGGATTTCTGGGAGTTGAAGACCAAAAACATCTGAGAACCCCAGCTTGAGGACCACTGGTCTAGGGGTTCTTCCCATAACTTCCACTGTCTAGGAAGAAAGCAATTGGTGATATTTTTGTAAGAGGCATGCGATAAAAACATGTGAGCTGGGCAATGTCTCAAGAGACACTGTTAAGAGAAGTCTAACAGTCTCACCTATTTTCACGATTATCAAATTGGCTTTGTTCTATTTTAAATAAATGACTGTATCAGTCCAAAAACACATCTAAGAAGTTTTGCATCTGTGATCCATAATTTTTAATTAAACATTTTAACAGAAAAAACACACAAAATATTATTTATGCATACACAAACATACTTTAATAATGATAATGATGACAATGCTTTATTTATTGCCTACCCTATCTCCCCTGGAAGGACTCATTAAGAGCCACATCAATAATAATAATAATAATTATCATCACCATCATCATCATCATCATCATCAGTTGTTGTTGTTAAATTCCCATCCCAATATACTAAAGAGTTGCACTGGTATCGTCTCTAGGAATTTGCTAGCACCTCCAACACAACTCTAATACAATACATTGAACTCTAAGTTAACTTCCAAACATTAATGTGCCGGCTGCAGTGTGTAGGTGTATCACTCAAACACAATGAATCTATGTGAAATAAACCATAAATCATATATTTTCAAAAATATATTATTTTTGTGAGATATATTGTGTCTCCAAACATTTCATTATTACAATTTATATATGTGTCCATATGCCTTGTAAGGAGTTGATTTGCAGAATGATGCATGTCAAAGTGTGCCACCAACATGAAATGTTTGGAAAGCTCTGCTTTAGACAGACCATTTTTCCTCAAATGCAGAAAAGTAAAACCATTATTTTAAAAAATTATTTCCTGTCCTGAGGGCGTCAGAAGCCCTGTTCTGGGGCCCTGGCAGAACATCCTTTGCCCATTCCTTCCACCACAAAATATAGTTAAGCTAATGCCTGGAAACTCTGCTCATGAGTGAGACCTTATTGAGTGGTGTTGTTGAGCATTTTTCCCAAATTCCATTACAGTCTTAGCTCATTACGTACCTCCGTATTGTCCCATTTGTGGGGACGAGAGAGAGATGAACGTGTCCACATTGTGATCAGGCATCGTGGAGAGGAGGGCACGACAGATGAGTCCGCCTGCAAGAAAGAGAAAAATGGAGTCACACTTGTAGAACGAGGAGGAAAAGCTGAATGAACTCTAGTCCTCTACAAATTTCACTCCGATCCATTGAGTGACAGTGCTTTTCCTACATGGCAGGGGGTTGGACTAGATGGCCCATGTGGTCTCTTCCAACTCTATTATTATTCTATGATTCTAACGCTTCCCCCACAGATATGGGTGTCGTACTATATTTGGGGGGAAAATACAAGTTGAATGAAAAGTAATGCCTCCACCTTCGTTACTTGGGTTTGGATGGGAATATTTTAATAAATCAAACGCAGAAATAATCCTTAGAATGTGCTCTTTAACTACCACTATTCACTTTTCCACATAATCACCAGATTATTTCTGCAAACAATGAACAAGTTTTCTGAAGCTGTCACGGAAGAAGTCGATACTCTATTTCCACAACCCATCGTGCACAGATCTTCCGATAGCCAAGTAAAGCAATAATGTGACCCACAGGTTCTTGTGAAATGCCGATTATGCTTGAAATTTCTCTCTGAGTGATATGACAATCGTCCTGAATCAATCTGTCAACCTTTTGCTTGTAAAACTCGGTGGTTGCTGTCACAAGACATCCAACTCTTTGTTTGTCATGCAAGTCAGATGTTCCCACCTCAACATCTTTAAACTTACTCGCCTAACGATGCATAGTACTCACATCAACACAATCACCATAAACAGCTTGCATTCTCTGATAAATCTCCTTTGGGGTGACACCTTCTGCTATCAAGAATTCAATGACTGCATGTTACTTAAGTTGCAACTGTCTGCGCAGGATTCCATACTTTGCACTTTAACAACACAACTGTTCAGTGCTAAGGCTTTCCGCCAAAATGGAACTGTAGAAGAGAGTCTACTGAACAAGCCAGTACCTACCACATACCAGTACTGCCATCTGTTGAGGAGTTACGGAGGTGGAGGCATTATTTTTAATTCAACCTTCGTACTTAAAATGTTCCCATTCCCTTATTGAGATCATGAGTGATTTTGTCACGTCCCCCTGGAAGGAGGCCAGAAGTGACTTTTAGGTCCAGGACAGATGAGGCTTTTTCCAAGACAAGAAGTGATGGGAAGACCAAGGACAGGTAAAGAGGCCTATCAGATCTCCTGAGTACTTCAACAACACCAGGGAGCTAGTTCTTGCCTTCACTTAAGTCACTTAAATCAAGTTAAAAATACAGCTAGCCCCAGTTGCCATTGTAGTCAGGCAAGCCCATTTTATCTGTCAAAGAACAATGGATGGGACCGATCCAATCCCAAGAAAGCAACCCTTCTCCTCTCCATTAAAAGCCCATATACCTTGTGAATAGCAGATGAGGTGGACGCCGTCAGCAGCATTCTGCATTATAGGGTAAATAGCTTGCCTGAAGCCCTCCACTTGTATCCAGAGAGGTTTCAGGCTCTCAGTGCGGTCAAACAAATCGACAACCGTTACGTTGGTTCCCGGATGTGTCTGCAGGGACGAGAATTAAATCAGAGAGACAAACAAAAATTTCAAACCTTCAGAAAGAGCTTGTAGTCATTCCCCAAATATCTGAATAGCAATAACAAATATCTGAAGAGCAATAGCTAAATAAACATCATCACTCTGGAAATAAAAGCAGATCGTAAACCCATTTCTGCATTCCAGTACCACATATTAATGTAGAACAGGATCATTAGAGCATATGCACACAATCCTATGTATTTTTGTCATGGATAAATATGATGCAATGGAATTGTATGACAGGTGTATGAATGAGCGCTAATAATTCTGGAGAAATGATTCTTATCAGAGACAATAGCTCTTTAAGTTATGGAAATGTCTACAAGTTTCTTTACGTTAAGAAGGAAGTCTCTAGGTCCAGGGAAGTCATGCTACCCCTCTATCTGCCTTGATCCGACCACCACTGGAATCACACTGTATCCAATGCTGGGGACCGCAATTGAAGGGAGATGTTGATAAGCTGGAATGTGTCCAGAGGTTCTGGAGAACAAGCCCTATGAGGAGCGGCTGAAAGAGCTGGGCAGAAGAGAAGGCTGTGAGGAGACATGATGAAGACCATGTATAAGTATATGAGGGGAAGTCATAGGGAGGAGGAAGCAAGCTTGTTTTCTGCTGCCCTGGAAACTAGGATGCGGAGCAATCGTTTCAAGCTACAGGAAAGAGATTACACCTTAACATTAGGAAGAACTTCCTGACAGCGAGAGCTGTTCAGCATTGGAACTCTCTGCATTGGAATGTGGTGGAAGTTCCTTCTTTGGAGGCTTTTAAGCAGAGGCTGGATGGCCATCTGTCAGGGGTGCTTTGATTATGCCTTTCCTGCTTCTTGGCAGGGGGTTGGACTGGATGGCCCACGGAGGCCTCTTACAACTCTATGATTCTACAAGGCTGCTTGTATTTACCAACACCAATTACGAAGAGACAACCATGAAACTGAGATGAAGCCAGGATGTTTCAGGCTAGAAAAAGATCTATCATTAATTTACAACTTTGGAACAACATCAGCAGAATATTCCAATAAAAGACTCAATCTAATAATTCTCAAGTGTGACAGACAGTGGTGCTGTTCACCCGTCATGCTCTGCTCCTTGGGAAGGAGAGAGATGGTGTATTTGGGGGTGTCAGATCTGCTATGGGAAAGCAGGATTCTGGTCACTTGCCTCCTTTTCTCAAGGGAAGAGAAAGGAGTGTGTTTTGGAGTCATGATACGTTTGGGAGTCAGTTTCTGCTGTAGAGATCTAATCCTTGGCATTGTTCTTAGGGAAAGAGGATGCAGTTGGTATTTTAGAAGTTTTGGAAGTATTGGAAAAATGACAGATTTGCAAGGAAGCAATCTGGCCTAAGAGATGACGGGAGGAGAAATTGTGATATATAGAATCACAGAATCACAGAGTTGGAAGAGACCTTGTGGGCCGTCCGGTCCAACCCTCTGCAGGAAAATCACATTCAAAGCATCCCCATCTAGACTCTGTTTAAAAGCCTCCAAAGAAGAAGCTTCCATCACAATCTGGAGCAGAGAGTTCCACTGCTGAACAGCTCTCACAGTCAGGAAGTTCTTCCTCATGTTAAAGTGGATTCTCCTTTCCTGTAGTTTGAAGCCATTGTTCGGCCTCCTAGTCTCCATGGCAGCAGAAAACAAGCTTGCTCCCTCCTCCCTATGACTTTCCCTCATATATTGATACATGGCCCTCATCACGTCTCCTCTCAGCCTCCTCTTCTGCATGCTAAACATTCCCAGCTCTTTAAGCCGCTTCTCATAGGGCTTGTTCTCCTGACCCTTGATCATTTGAGTCGCCCCCCTCTGGACACATTCCAGCTTGTCAACATCTCCCTTCAATTGCAGTGCCCAGAATTGGACATAGTATGCCATGAGGATGACTGAATGTATAAGGGGAAAGTGAGTGCTGAGTCAAAATGGAATTCCCCTTTATTGATTGTGAGCCAATATACCTTTAGGTTGTTTGTGAATTCAATATAGTTACACAGAATCTGTATGACTGTATGTTCAAAGTCATTTTTTGTATAAAAGTTCTAGTACCCTTTCTCTTACTAGAAAATTCCAATAAAAAGAACCTATTTGAAAGTTATGAATACCATTTTCATGCTTAGCAGGGGTTGTTTGGTATTTTTATTCATTACATGTATATTCTGCCTTTCCTTCAAAGTTTAAAGCAGCAAAAACACTGCTTTACCTTTTCTGCGTTATTCTCACAACAGATCAATAAAGTTGACCATACCACAACAGAATGACTATGCCAAATATCACTACTCTGTGGCTCAGTGAGGATTTGAACCTGAATTTCCCATGTCCAGAGAAGATCCTAACCAACACCTTAAACTGACTCAGTCTTTTGCTTTAAAATTGTATTTCTACTTGCAGAATAAGTATGTAGGAATGTCCAAGAACTCCACGCACCTCCTCTTTCCCAACCCAGAAAGACAGACTTTCCAATCAAAACCAAGAAGCACAATGAAAACAACACTCCATTTATCTCTCCACATAAAGATTTACACCACATGGAACGTGTTAAGGCTGTTAGCCAGAGAGAGGCTGGAAGAAGGAGGGCCTTATCATACCACTCCATGCAGCATTATTCTGTTTGAAATTCACTCCAGCTGATTCTCTCTATCACACCTTTGCTGCATTTGCACTTTACTAGCATCATTTGCATACTTTTTCATCTTCATCAACAGCATTTCTTTTGCATTAATGGTCTTTCACCTGCATTAATGGCATCATTACCACACTCAAAGACAACTGAAAAACTTTCCCTCAGAGTGTAATGGAGTCTCCTTCTCTGGAAGTTTTTAAACAGAGGTTGGATGGCTATCTATCTGGAGGGCTTGGCTTGTACGTTCCTGCCTGGCAAAATGGGGTTGGACTAGATGGCCCTTGGGGTCTCTTCCAACTTTAGGATTCTATGATACTACGACTTCCCGCTTGCTCCACTTGGGATTTAAAATGGCATACGAATTCCTAAAGCAAAGGTTGTGAGATATTGCCCTGGGAGAGATCAGCGCTTGCTCCAACTCATCATGCTCCCCCAGATCTTTAAATGTACCTTATAGGGAGCGTTTCAAGACATGTGAATATCTAAAAAAAACCTTACAGTGATTAAATATTGTTGATCTTTTACAAAGGCAAGATCGTCTGGGGAGGCCCTGCTCTCGGTCCTGCCTTCATCACAAGTACAGTTGACAGGGACGAAGGACAGGGCCTTCTCAGCAGTGGTCCCTTGGCTATAGAACACCCTCCCCAAGGAGATTAGATTGGCTTCTTCACTCCTAAAATTTCAGTAAAAACTCAAGACATGGCTATTTGAGCAAGCATTTGCAAATATTGAGTAATGGACATAGGAAAATGGAACAACTATACGATGAAATTGGACAATGTTTTTATTGAGGATTTACTGACTTATGTTTTTTATTGCTGTTGTTATGATTTTATTGATGTTAATGTTTCAAATTGTATTTGTATTTTGTGGCATTGAATTTCACCTTGTAAATCGTCTTGAGTCACCGCAGGGCTGTGAGGGGCGGTATACAAATAAAGTAAATAAATATTATTTATTTATTTATTTATTTATTATTTACAACATTTATATGCCACCCGAAGGGGACTTAGAGAAGCTTACAAGATATATATATATACATGCAATACATTATATTATTAGCATAGTACAATATCAGTATTATATATTACTATATTGAACTATACCATTATATTGTAATATTACTAGTAATATTACATGTAATATAAAATATATCATTATAATATTGTATTAATAGTAGTATTGTTATATTGTATTACATTATAATATTATAAATATTATATGTATATACAATATATTATATTATATTATTAGTATGGAGCCCCCAGTGGTGCAGTGGGTTAAACCCCTGTGCTGGCAGGACTGAAGACCGACAGGTTGCAGGTCCAAATCTGGGGAGAGGCGGATGAGCTCCCTCTATCAGCTCCAGCTCCTCATGCGGGGACATGAGAGAAGCCTCCCACAAGGATGATAAAAACATCAAATCATCCGGGCGTCCCCTGGGCAACATCCTTGCAGACGGCCAGTTCTCTCACACCAGAAGCGACTTGTAGTTTCTCAAGTCGCTCCTGACACGACAAAAAATATATTATTAGTGAAGCACAGGAGACAAGACTAAACTCATTTCTATCAGAGCTGCGAAGAGGCAGGCTGTCTGGAATCCCGTACTTCCAAAGACTACGCCCCTGTGAAGGAAATGAAGTAGAAACAATAGAGGACATTCTATTGCAGTGCCGCTACTATTTAGTGCATTGTAGCCAGCTTTTATATCAAATTCTGTCCCACATGACCAGCCATCTCCCACAGGGGATTGTTAGATATCTCTTATAGGACAAGAGCCACTCTCATACTGGCAAAATTTTATTGCAAAGGCAACAAGACTTAGAAAGAAACTAACCTCTGATAGTGGTATTACCTGAAATCATGTACATGTTTCTTGTATAATGAACTTCTCCTAAAATGGGAGAATTTATAAATGTCTGTTCTTTTGTACTTATGGGTCTATGGACCATAATAAATTGTTGTTGCTGATACTACGACTCCGTTACTCACTTCATGATTGGTTTAATTTTTTATTGTAGCTGTAATAGTTCAATGATGATACAAGTGTAGGATGTGCTATACCATTGTGAGAAATAATGAGTAAACAATGATATATAAATCAGAATAGGGGATTAAGAGGAGTCTGAACATACTAGAAAAGTTCCATTTTAAAAAAATGGAAATAGGTTCTTAGGAACACATATTGTCCATCCCGGGACTACAGCATTAAACTAGGGTTGGAGACATAACTCCAGCAATGAAACTCACTGGGTAGCTTTTGCTTTCAGAGTGAACTATTTCAACACATGATTGTTGCAAAGGGAACTTGTAGTGCCCAGGAAGAGATCAAATAATAAACAAAACCAATTTCCAAATAATAGTAGCAGTAGACTTGAGAGGATTGAGGTATGGGCTGGAAACCCCTCTTTATTCTTTACCTTCCCTTCCATCTCTGAAATTTCACAATCTTTCCTTTGTAAGAATATAAACTCTTATTTTGCTGTATTTAGTAGCTGTGTAACCTAAAGGCCCCATACAGAAGTGCGAGGAACATTCAGTGCCCTATAATCTGGACTTTGTTCTTTAGCTTCCTTCCTTACCCAGAATTTGTTCCCAAACTTCATCAAAGTCCTCTTTGAGAACCAAAGCTTTCTTTCATCCCATCCAAAGATGCCTCTTAATAGCAACCCAAACCAATTATTCCATTTCCTTTGCTACATTATTCTTCAGGTTGCACTATTTTTCAATGTCTCTTTCAGGGTTTATTTCTGGCTTGCATAATGCAGTGCCAGAACACAGGGCGCTCCCTTACAACAAGTGGGACTACTGGTCCATCCGGCCTGCTGGCAAGTAATGTGAAACTCATGGATAACACAACCCCTCTCCAACCAGCTGAACTACAGTCACAGATGGAAATAGTGTTCCCACACAATGCATGCAGCCTCTTGAAGGATCTGGAATAGATGTTAGGTTTCTCTAGAACTCCAATAGTAAAGGTAAAGGTTTTCCCTTGACATTATGTTCAGTCGTGTCTAACTCTGGGGGTTGGTGCTCATCTCCATTTCTAAACTGAAGAGCCGCCGTTGTCCGTCGATGCCTCCAAGGTCATGTGGCTGGCATGACTGCATGAAGCATGTAGTCATGCTCTGTTACCTTCCCACCTATTGATCTATTCACATTTGCATGTTTTCGAACTGCTAGGTTGGCAGAAGATGGGGTTGACAGTGAAAGCTCACACCGCTTCCCGGATTCGAACCTGCGACATTTCAGCCAAGAACTCCAATACCATACCCACCCCCCAAAAATGTACAAGCTGCCTTTTTGGGTGAACCTTTCCCCTATGGACCTTCTTTGCCTAAACTACTGAAACACTGCTCCACATTCCTTTCCAACAAAGGTTACAGAAAAGGGAATTCAACCTATTCTATGGCTCCTTCAACACTGGTAAACAAAATCTATATTATCTGCTTTGAACTGGATTATATGGCAATGTAGATTCATATAATCCAGTTCGAAGAAGATAATGTGGATTTTATATGGCAGTGTAGAAGGGGCCTATGTTGGCCTTCAACTGCATGGAAAGACGTCCTAAGAGCATGATCATACCACTCTGTTATACCATCATAGTGATGCATTAGTATCACTTTTGCCTTAGCCTTATTGCACAATGTTGTCTCTCTCTAGGCATTGGTGCATTGGAGAGTATATGAAAATGTGTTTTTCCCCCATGGTGGAAATAATTATCTTGTTATTGCCTATTTGTTCAGTTGCTTCTAACTCTTCGTGACCTCATGGACCAGCCCACAGCAGAGCTCCCTGTTAACCGTCACCACCCCCAGCTCCTTCAGAGTGAAGCTAGTCACTTCAAGGATACCATCCATCCATCTTGCCCTTGGTCGGCCTCTCTTCCATTTTCCCCAGCATCATTGTCTTCTCTAGGCTTTCCTGTCTTCTCATGATGTGGCCAAAGTACTTCATCTTTGCCTCTACTATCCTTCCCTCCAATTAGCAGTTGGGCTTTATTTCCTGAGTATGGACTGGTTGGATCTTCTCGTGTTCCAAGGCAGTCTCAGATATTAATAATTCTATTAATAATCCCCTTTTCTTGAACAATTCAGTAACCATTTTGCGAGAGGATGTCTCTTAGTTCTTTCTTCAATAAACAATACATTAGTATTGTTAAATGCTTTCATGGCTGGAATCACTGAGGTGTTGGGTGGTTTCTGGGCTGTATGGCCATGTTCTAGCAGCATTTTCTCCTGACATTTTGCCTGCATCTGTGGTTGGCATCTTCAGAGAATACTGTGTTGTTACCCATGACTTTCACATTGATGGCCAGCAATTTTTAAAAAATGCAGTTATATTATTGTAACATTGTAACACATCTCATCATTTTTTACTTTGTAGCACTGCAACAGTTATAGTTTGTTAAAAATCCTATATTCTATTATTCTAATAAACACATACATCTTCTAGGCTAAATTTAAGAACAGGCCTATTGACTCAACAAGATTTGCATAACATTTGCTTTACCAAGTTTCCACTCTAATTGAGAATAACAATTGAATTTACACTTGTACCTTTTCCACACCATCTCCTACGCTTGGCTCCCAGACTCACCTCATTGATGAACTGGAGCAAAAGCCGAAAATCCGAAGGGCTGTCGAACAAGCCATGGACGACAATGACGGGTTTGTAAGATGCTGTGTGAGTGAGCAAAAGGGAAGTGGCCAGGAGAAAAACTGGAGCGAGGACCCCGATGTAGCTTCGTCCCTGCCGCATGATCCTACCACCTGGAAAAGGCACCAAAAGATGCATATGAGCTCAGCGTGCATTTTCCTCTTCTGCTACTTTCTGTGGCTCACCCGTGTTTCGATATTGGTTAACCAGCTCAACAACCCACACCTTTTTTTGCACTAGCAACTATGGTTGATCAACCAATTAATTCCAATAATACCAAAAAGGAAAATGATCTATCACAATTTTTTTACAGTAACCACTTCAAATCCTTCAAATTAAACATATTTTTGCCACATATTTCTTATTTACATAAATTATAACTCTTTTTTTATTCATCAAAGCTGCAAAATGGAGGACCAAATAAAAAATTAATACGCAATCTTTCACCTCTTCTTCTTATATGTGTTTCCTGCAAACATATCAAATCATATTTTGTTTTTTAACATAACACAATTCATGTTTATGTTTTCTAAGGTGATTCATCCCTTTGAGATTCCAAGAAAAATATTGGAATCGTCAGGTCCCCCCTAAAACTAATTAAACTCCTAAATTATATTCCTTTCTATCTCTTTTCCCTCTCTATTATGAACCATCTAGGACTTTAAGATCGTCTGGGGAGGCCCTGCTCTCGATCCCGCCCTCATCACAAGTACATTTGGCAGGGACAAGAGATAGGGCCTTCTCTGTGGTGGCCCCTCGGCTATGGAACTCCCTCCTTAAGGAGATTAGATTAGCTCCCTCACTCTTAACATTTCAGAGACAAGTTAAGACATGGTTAAATGAACAAGCTATTACACAATCCCAATCCAGTTCAAATATCTGCATCACCCCTACAGTTTACCCCAATCTCCCGTTGAGTAATATATTTATGTATCATATGGCCACTGTACCTGTAGGTGTCCATGGTTTCATTTACCCGTATCCAACCAAATATTTCCCTAGGTAAAAGTAAAGGTTTCCCCTTGACATTAAGTGTAGTTGAGCCGATTCTCGGGGTTGGTGCTCATCTCCATTTTTAAGCTAAAGAGCCGGCATTGTCTGTAGACACCTCCAAGGTCATGTGGCTGGCATGACTGCAAGGAGCGTCCTTACCTTCCCGCCAATGCTGTACCCATTAACCTACTCACATTTGTATGTTTTCAAACTGCTAGGTTGGCAGAAGCTGGGGCTAATAATGGGAGCTCACCCCGACCCACGGATTCGAACTAGTGACCTTCCGGTCAGCAAGTTCAGCAGGTTGGCTGTTTGACCTGCTGTGCCATCTATTCCACTAAGAATTATTATTAAGGTCCTCAAAGTGATTTTACAGTATGCTTCACCTAGGTCCTCCAGCTCTCTATAGTAACTTCTGGTGGAAGTTGTTCATTTCAATACATTTTACTATTGTCCATGGTTTCCTATTTCCACAGTAAGTTCAGGAACACATCTCCTGTGCTCCTTAACTTGACAGAATTGTCCTCCATCCAGAAATTATTCCTGTGGTATGACAGCTTTATACCTGATTTTCTTTCCTACACATTGAGCATCTGAAACATGGGCGACAACCAAGTTAGAAGAGGAAAAACTGGCGGTGACTCAAGTGGACACCAACCATATAATAATCCCAGAGAATTTAGATATTTCTATAGAGAAGTGTTATATAGAGAAGTGTTTTTCCACAGTCAGATTTCCACTTTCTCTAGACTTAAGGGCATTGGACCACCATGAAAAACAACAACAACAATGAATTAAACAATGACACAGGTATTGTCGTTATGTGCCTTCAAGACATTTCTGATCTATGACAAACATATAATGGGGCTTTTTGGCAGGATTTGTTCAGGGGGAAGCTTGCCATTGCTTTCCTCTGAGGCTGAGAAAGTTTAAGTTATTGATTTCATGGACAACCCTGCTCTCCCAAGTTGTAGTCCAAACTTAAACCAGGGGTCATCAAACTTTTAAAACAGAGGGCCAGGTCACATTCCCTAAAACTGTTGGGAGGGCTGGATTATAATTTGAAAAAAACATGAATGAATTCCTATGGACACTGCATATATCTTATTTGTAGTGCAAAAAAACACTTAAAACAAATAATAATTAAAATGAAGAACTATTTTAACAAATATAAACTTAATAGTATTTCAAAGGGAAGTGTGGGCCTGCTTTTGGCTGATGAGATAGGATTGTTGTTGTTGTTGTGTGCTTTCAAGTCATTTCAGACTTAGGTTGACCCTGAGCGCTGGCCGGGAAAATGACATTGGAGGGCTGCATCTGGCCCCCAGGCCTCAGTTTGAGGACCCCTGGCTTAAATTATTACGTCATGCTGTCTCTGCTGCAAGTATTTTGTTGTTGTTCATTCGTTCAGTCGTCTCCAACTCTTCGTGACCTCATGGACCAGCCCACGCCAGAGCTCCCTGTCGGCCATCACCACCCCCAGCTCCTTCAAGGTCAGTCCAGTTACTTCAAGGATGCCATCCATCCATCTTGCCCTTGGTCGGCCCCTCTTCCTTTTTCCTTCTACTTTCCCCAGCATAATTGTCTTCTCTAGGCTTTCCTGTCTCCTCATGATGTGGCCAAGTATAGCATATCCCAAAACAAAAGATAATGCAAGACAGGCTTCTAAAGGTACTACATAACTGTAGTACTTATTATACATCACATTAAATATGTCATCAATAATATATTAATATGAATATTCTTTCTGCTATTAATAACTGACAGCAACTTGAATCCTCGGGTTGGGTTTTTTTCCCCTTTCCTTGCTGCTGCAAAACATTTTGCCCTAGGCAAAAAATTTCCTGTTGAAACAGGGATGCTGACCCTTGGAAAGAGACTAAATTGTTCAAGATAATCCAGGCTCCAATAAATACAGAGCTGGGATTTAAAGTATGACAACCATCCACTTTTGTGTCCGGTATGCTGAGTTGGCAACCATTCCACAACAACCCTATCAACAAGAAGTGTCTTAGCATACCAACATGAGAAAACAATTGCACTTGGTTAGCCATGTGAAAGCCCCTAAGAGTCGAACCCCTCTCTTACCTTGCAAGCCAGTCAGTATCAAAAACAGGAGAGATTTTTAACACACATTCCATCCGCCTTCACACGCAAACCTCTAAATACAGTGTGACTCTTATTTGGAATGCAAAAATCGGAGCAAACCAATCATTCAGCATTTTTGTCACAATCAACTCCACCCTGGTAGATACCCGGACGGCTCTGCATTTCCAAGCATGCCAGCATGAGTCTACAATCTCAGCCATTCAGTATAAAATGAGGATGGCCATGCAAACCCTGCAAATTGCTCCACTGTCTCCCCAATAATTATTTTTCCCATAAAGGAGAAAAGAACTGCTCTCCCGGAAACCTCTCTTAAGCAAGAGTGCTGAACTCATTTTCATCAGCCTTACGGTGGTTTTCAAAGGGCTGTTGCAGCCATGGATGGAGAATTCATAGGGTTTTGCCCAATTTGGATCCCTAGATGAACAACAGCTGCCATTTGGTTCCAAGAGCCACAGTATCTGCAGCTTTAAGGCCACAGTATCTGCAGAGTGCTGGATCACCTGTCCCTGAAATGGTTTTGCCATGCAACTTGGGTTACAACTAATTCGCTGATGCACATTTCTGGCTCTATTTTGGAGTACCTCCCGATTTTGCTTATCTCAGTTAAAATTGCTAATTTGCATTGCTACATGTGTTCATGCCATGCACCTTTTAAACATCACCTTTCCCACTCACCTTAATCTAAATTAAGTGGTCAGTATAGATGTGCCCTTACTCCCAACAAAAGAATTACGGTACATCATTTCTTCAACTGTAATATGTACTTCCCCCATATAAATATCTCTGTCTCAAAATCTAATCGATATCTAAACAAAGCTTCTTCTTTTTTTCTATTGGTGGCACTGAAATTAGTGCCACCAATACAAAAATCCTGCAAATCTCTTGGGAAGACATGTGGACAAATATCAGTATGCTGGAAGAAGAAAAGGCCACCAGCATTGAAGCGATGGTCCTCTGCCATCAACTCCGCTGCACTGGCCACGTTGTCCGAATGCCCGATCAACGTCTCCCAAAGCAATTACTATACTCCCAACTCAAAAATGGGAAACACAATGTTGGTGGACAGGAAAAGGGATTGAAAGATGGGCTTAAAGCTAACCTTAAAAGCTGTGACATAGACACCGAGAACTGGGAAGCCCTGGCCCCTGAACACTCTAACTGGGGGTCAGCTGTGACCCGCAGTGCTGCAGAATTTGAAGGAGCACGAATGGAGGACAAAAGGGAGAAACATGCCAACCCTGACCAGGATTGCCTACCACCTGGAAGCCAATGTCCTCACTGTGGAAGAACATGCAGATCAAGAATAGGGCTCTACAGTCACCTATGTATCCACCGCCAGGGCACTGTACTTGGAAGGCCATCATGCTCAGACAATGAGGGATCACCTAAGTAAGTACCAGTGAAGAAGAATATACACCAATGTCATGGACGCATATATTCTCTGGCCCTTAAGTGCTCTAAGTGGAGGTCAGCTGTTTGGAGATCGCTTTTTAATGCCTCTGTTATTTCAGATTTGGCAGAAAAGTAAACAAGTTTGTTCTATAATCTCTTAGCTATACTTCAAGTCTATTTTCAGCTCTTTTGACCTTGGGTAAGTTATATTTAACTCACTTTTCCATGGAGAAGTTCTGCAGCAGGTCCGGTCAGCAAAAGTGCATGCTCCACCCTCAAAGTGGAGGTCAGCTGTGACCAGCAGTGCTGCAGAATTTGAAGAGGCACGAACAGAGGGCAAAAGGGAGAAACGTGCCAGGAGGTAGGCATGTCAAGCCAACCCTGGCCAGGACTGCCTTCCACCAGGAAACCGATGTCCTCACTGCGGGAGAACATGCGGCTCAGGAATAGTGCTCCACAATCACCTATGGACCCACTGCCAAGACACTACACTTAGAGGACACTACGAGGGATCATTAAAGTAAGTACTGAAATTAGTGCGCATCTTATAATCAATGGCATCTTAATATCAAAGAAAAACTGTACTTAAATATGAAGCTGCAAAACAGACCTATCTACTTATCCATCTATCTACCTACCAGTCTATCTGAAACCACAATTTATTTGCAGTAACAGCAGAGCTGCTTTGGTTTTTGGTTCTGTGCTGGAAGAAAGGCGAGCTATAAATAAAATAATCTGCAGAAACTGACAGAATAAGAATTTTCAGAAAGGCTTCCCACCCATTCACACAAAAATATTTCTATGTGTTAGAAGTACAAAAATACCAGTCCCTCACCAATATCAGGTCCAAAAGCTGACATAGACTGACGGTGCCACATGCAAGCTTTCAAAGTTTCCCAGCCTTCTCACCAAGCAGAAGAACAGCAGAATTTCAGATGGGTGTGTGAAAGCAGATATTCGCAATGCAGATCAAGTTGTATTTTACAAAGCTGGAAAAAACGTGTCTTGACAGTAATAAGCTCTTTGGAGAAACTAGGTTACAAGGCACTGGAAGCATTTGCATTTTGCTCCTTTTCTCTCTCTCCTTCTTCCAATGAAATACCCATCCCCCCAATATTCACAAGTGGGGCCACTGGATAATTACAACAACTCGCAAATAAACCTCCAGTCCGGATTAGAAATCCCTGGCCATGTCTTTTGCGCAGATTTATTTCCCCATAAAAAGATCAAAAGGGGAAATGCATGCTAATACCAAGGTGGGTAAAATGCACGAAGTATTGGTTTGCAGAGTTTAGCTGGTGCATAAATTATCAGCTTCTGCTTCTTGCAGAGTTTTCAAAAAGAAAAGACACAACAAAGCCTGTTTGAGTCCCCTTTGGGGAGATTAAGTGGGATAGAAAAACATATATAATACTAACAACAGCTCTAGTCAATGGGCGCCAATTTCGTTTGGCTCCCAGATACACTTGGGGGGACACTGCCCATCCCCATTAAGATGATCTGAGTAAACACAACATCACTCCAGGATGCTACCATTTTAGGGATACACTACATTGTACGAGGGTTGAATGAAAAGTAATGCCTCCACCTTCGTATCTCGTCAACAAATGGCAATACTGGTATGCGGCATGTACTGGCTTGTTCAATAGACTCTCCTCTACAATTCCATTTTAGCGGGAAGCCTTAGCATTGAACGGTTGTGTTGTTAAATTGCAAAGTATGGAATCCTGCGCAGACGGTCGATCAACGTGACTTAAGCAACACGTAATCATTGAATTCTTGACAGCTGAAGGTCTCACCCCAAAGGAGATTCATCAGAGAATGCAAGCTGTTTATGGTGATTGTGTTGATGTGAGTACTGTGCGTTGTTGGGCAAGTAAGTTTAAAGATGTTGAGGTGGGAACATCTGACTTGCATGACAAACAAAGCTTTTGATGTCATGTGACAGCAACCACCGAGTTTCATATGCAAAAGGTTGACAGATTGATTCAGGACGATTGTCGTATCACTCAGAGAGAAATTTCAAGCATAATCGGCATTTCACAAGAACATGTGGGTCACATTATTGATTTGCTTGGCTCTCAGAAGATCTGTGCACGATGGGTACCCAGGATGCTGTTGCCTGAAATGAAAGTGCAGACTTCTTCCATGACAACTTCAGAACTCTTGTTCATTGTTGGCAGAAATGAATCCAATTGTCTGATGGTTATGCGGAAAGTGAGTAGTGGTAGTTAAAGAGCACATTCTAAGGATTAATTCTGTGTTAGATTTATTAAAATATTCCCACCCAAACCCAAGTAACGAAGGTGGAGGCATTACTTTTCATTCATCCCTCATAGTTATAATACAATTTGACACCAGTTTACCAGTCATGGCTCAGTGCTATGGAATCCTAGGAGCCATATGTGTTGTCGAAGGCTTTCATGGCCAGAACCACTGGGTTGCTATGAGTTTTCCAGGCTGTATGGCCATGTTCCAGAAGCATTCTCTCCTGATGTTTCACCCACATCTATGGCAGGCATCCTCAGAGGTTGTTAGATTTGTTGGAGACTAGGCAAGTGGGGTTATATATCTGTGGAATGTCCAGGGTGGGAGAAAGTTATGGGGCATTTTCAAAACATGAAAACTCCCCCATAGAGTTTAAACTTTAAAAAAACAGACATGGCCCTTCAAGGTCTTCTAGGTGGCTAAAGTGCCCCTCTATTATTCCACACGTGCCCACCTCTGCTTTGGACCTTTTACCTGTATAGGAGATGCCTTGCAATTACACTAAGTGCACTCAACAGCAGAGCACTTCTTGCTGGCTTCTGATCATGTTTACCTTCCTTGCCCTCAGTCCTGCCTTAGATCTGCTTTGTATCTTCCTTGCCCTTGCCATCTAATCTCTCATCTGTCTGCCACTGAAGGCACTGAAGGAATCCGTGTTGTCTGCTGAGCCCTTGCCAACATTCAGGCTTAACAACCAATTTCTAAATACCTGCTTGGAGTCTCAAGGCCAAAGGGATTTTCTTTCTTCTGGGGCCCCTTCCACACAGCTGAATAAAATTCCTCATTATCTGCTTTGAACTGGAATATATGGCAGTGTGGACTCAGCTAACACAGTTCAAAGCAGATATTGTGAGATTTTCTGCCTTGATATTCTGGGTTATATGGCTGTGTGGAAGGGCGCTGGGTGCTTACAATGTGGAACTTCGGAACATTTCCTACCTCATCAATGAAGCTTTGTTGCAATAGACTTTTTTGCATGGTTGTCTGATGGCATGACAGTCAATCCTCCACTTTTGCAGGTTTGGCTTTTGTGAATGTCTTGATTTACAATCAAATATTCTCCTTAGAACTCTATAAGTCTGTTGGTCAATTTCTGTTGCATGTTGCCCACAGAGTCTCATTGAAGGACCTCTGAAAAATGACATTGACATTCTGAAAGAGGCATTCTTTCAGGTAAAAAATAATATGATTCGGTTCCTAACCCCTGCAAATATGGAGGGTTGACCACATAGCCATCAATGTTTATGTTGCTATTTGTACCAACCTAGCCAAACTCAAAAACTGTGGCATAGACACCGAGAACTGGGAAGGCCTGGCCCTTGAATGCTTTATCTGGAGGTGAGCTGTGACCAGCAGTGCTGCAGAATTCAAAGAATGGAGGGTGAAAGGGAGAAATGTGCCAAGAGGAAGGCACATCAAGCCAACCCTGACTAGGACCACCTTCCATCTGGAAACTGATGTCCTCATGCAGGAGAACATACGGATCAAGAATTGGGCTCTACAACCACCTACACACCCACCGCCAAGACACCACATCTGGAAGACAATCATCCTCGAGCTACGAGGGATCGCCTAAGTAAGTAAGTACTAACCTAGTTTAGTCTCATTTAGTTTTTAGCCAGTTCTTAAAATTATTTATATTTTCAAAAATTCACGATTTGCTTGCCTCCCTCAATGCTTTAGCTCAAAGATGAGAAGCAAGCAGGACTTTCACTATGTGCTGAAAAGAAAGCTAGATTTATGCCACTTTTAGGCACAGCTCTGAATCAGGTTATTCATCTAATTCTGTTGAAAATAGCAACCTTCTTCAAGCCTGCACTAGTTATTTGTTATGCATTTAATTCAGATTGCTTACTGTATTGTATATGTGTGTATTGGTATGCAGTTTTCCTTAACTGTGTTGTGGGTCGAGCTACAGGCCACATGACCAGATCTGGGATTGTTCGGGACTCAGACTCCATTTTAGAAATAGTATGCTTTCAGACATAAGTAGAAACAGTACAGTTCAAAAGCTATTAGACTTTCAGTCTGGGATTGTTCAGGACTCAGACTCCATTTTAGAAAGTTTTTGCTTTCAGACATCAGTAGAAACAATATAGTTCAGAAGCTATTAGACTTTCAGTCTGGGATTTTTCAGGACTCAGACTCCATTTTACAAACAGGATGCTTTGGGATGCCAGTAGAAACAGTACCGTTCAGATTCCACTGGACTTTCAGACTAGACGGAGATTCTATTAGATTCTCAGAACAGAGATATGTTTTAGACTTTGGACTGTTGATTATAAGAAAGATCCCCTGTTGTCTGTGCAGAGAAACTACTTCAAATCCTACCTGTAACTTGATTTATATGCAAATTACCTATATGCTGAATACATGAAGTTTGTGAGTAAACCAACTATGTTACTTTTAAAGAAGTCTACCTTATTTTTGGTCGCTTGAGAGCATGATTTAAACCAATATGTTTTAAGGGAGATATTTTTTGGGCAACTGAAAGACCACTTCTGAAACTCTGCTCTCTCTATATATGTGTGTGTGTGTGTGTGTGTGTGTGTGTGCATGTGTGAATCTGTGCGTCTGTGTATGTGTCTATATAAGTGTGTGCATTGGCATATCTTTGTCCCTAACAGTTCAAAGAGATATCTAGGTATATCAGTCTAACAACTGAGAAACCTAACTGTCTTGCATGAATACTAGTGCATATTTACCACTAAGGAGAAGGTTGATTTAAGTGAGTTTTTAACTCTCCTCTGGGAGATTCCATTTCCCAAAAGGTTATGGTGAATGCCATTTTCAAAAAGGTTTTGGCATTATTTTCCCAAAAGGTTATAATCTCTAACAAGGTCATACCTTTCCAATGATCATAATCCCCCCCCCCCAAAAAAAATGGGGGTAGAAAAACTATGATCTTTCATATGATGAGTTCTGATCCCTAGATGTGGCCTCAACCAGCATGACCAATGGATAAGGATGATGAAGGTTGGAGTTCTGCAAAATGCAGAAGGTTCCACCTTATTCTATGCTAAGGGAAGAGAGGAAGGGTTGAACTTATAAGGGAATTTGCAGGGTTTATTCAATGCAAAATCCTGAGCCGACAACATGGCTGCAAAAGTAGATCATAGAATCATAGAATCCTAGAGTAGGAAGAGACCTCGTGGGCTATACAGTCCAACTCCTTGCCAAGAACCAGGACAATTACATTTAAAGCACCCCCGACAGATGGCCATCCAGCTTCTGCTTAAGAGTCTCCAAAGAAGGAGCCTCCACCACACTCTGGGGCAGAGAGTTCCACTGCTGAACAGCTCTCACAGTTAGAAAGTTCTTCCTCATGTTCAGGTGGAATCTCCTTTCTTTCCTAGTTTGATGCAATTGCTCCATGTCCTAGTCTCCAGGGCAGCAGAAAACAAGCCTGTTCCCTCCTCCCTATGATTTCCTCTCACATATTTATACATGGCTCTCATCATGTCTCCTCTCAGCCTTCTCTTCTGCAGGCTAAACATGCACAGCTCTTGAAGCTGCTCTTCATAGGTCTATTCTCCAGACCCTTGATGTACAAAGGATTGTTTTCCCCCACACGAAGGGGGAAAACAATCTTTGATATTGTACGTCTAAAGCCAGGTTAGGCTTTAGATTATGCCTATCTGCTCATGAAGATCAGCCACAGAAACTACCCCATTGTTCCACTTCAATCCACCTTTTGAAGGCAAAGCAGTTTGACAGACATATCACAGCA